GATAGCTAACTCTGACCTTTCAGCATGACCTGGGGTTTTCTGTCGCTGTCCTTGCTTGGGTGTGGGAGCCATGGGTGCTCCCTGGTGCCAAGTGTTTCTTGTCTCCTCAGGCTCCTTCAGTAGCAAATCGAAACCCTGATTACAGGACACTTGTTCGTCAGAGTGGCTGAGGTAGCAGCCCCTTCAGTGTCGGTGTGAGCTTGGTTCTGGCTTGTTTAATGCATACGTGCACACATATTCCATGTTCCATGCAGCCCGCGCCCCTTCTCGTGGGCATGCTGGAACATCCGTGTGCACATATCTGCACGTCACACGTCATCTTCCATGTAGCCCGTGCCAGTTTGGCCAGGCGCATGCACACTCCCGGTTCTGAAGCACATTTGCACGCAGTCCTCGGGCCGTGAGGGCCCCCGGCACCTGCAGTCCAGTGTTTAGGGGCCGTCACCCCCACTCCGGCACGAGGCACGTCTAGGTCAACCTCTCCCATAACCAGTGAAGAAGAGGGACCTTCCTGTGTGTATGGCAGGTCACCACGGACCCAGGGTTGGGCTTGCTGCCGTCTGGGACGTCTTCAGGAAAGCACCAGATCTTTGATGCAGTTTTTGGCTCATCTCCTAATGTATTTGAGAGTAAAAATCTTAGGGCTCCTAATACATTTCTGACTTTAATTTTCCTGATTATTCTGATGAATAGGGCTTGTCTATATTCTCGTCCTTTCAAAGTGGTTGTAAAAGTTTTCCTTTTGAAAGATTTAAGTAAACGAATCCTTTTAAATTCTTCACTTCCCAGTTTTTATACACAGAATCACATAACGGTGATATTGGGACATTGGCTGTGAGTTGATTAGCATGTAACCAGTGAAGTTACGTTCAGGAACCAAGGGAATGAACAGTTAGCTTGTTAAAACCTGAGGGAGATCATTCTTTACCTCATTTAAATGGAGCACATTCCGATTTTGCCACAATTGTTGATATAATTACACATATTCAAAACTTATTTATGGTTGGCTGTTAACACCGTTTAAGAAGAGTGAAACGGACGCCTGGGTGGCTCAGTCGGTTAAGTGTCTGCCTTCGGCTCAGGTCATGATCCTCAGGGTCCTGGGATCGAGCCGCACATTGGGCTCCCTGCTCAGCGAGGGTTCGGCTTCTCCCACTGCCTCTGCTGCTCCCCCTGCTGGTGCTCTCGCTTGCTCTCTGTCGAATGAATGAATAAAATCTTTGAAGGAAAGGGGGGAAAAAAAAGAGGAAGAATGAAGCAGTGACCAGACTTCACAGAAAGGAAATCAGAGCCTTGACCCTTCCTATTACAAGCATGAAGTTACCCTGTAAATCTTACTAAATTTAACTTTTCTGTTTCCCTTTTAATTCAGGTTGTGTGGAATTACCCTCTTTGAATAACCTTCTTAATTCAGTTAATCAAATACCAAGGAGGAGGATTTAGCCAGGTCAACTAAGTGTTGTTTGGCACATTCCTGAAGCCACTCAGGAGCCGTCTCCTGGGTGTGGGGGGGGTTGACCCTGGTGATGGTGGAAGCTTCTCTGAAGCCTCGGCACAGGTCTTCGCCGCAGCGGGTCTCAGCGGCCTGTCACGCTCCCTGCTGCCTGAGAACTGCACGTGTGCCGTTAGAGCGAGGACTGTCGCCGCCCCGCCGAGATGTGTGCTGTGTACGTTCTTCGTGGTGGCGTGCGCTCTCACACGAAGCAGGCCTGGCCCATCGTGGGGACTAGAACCCTGGGGAGTGAGCGGTTCTGTCGTTCGGTCCTGTCGGTGGCGCAGATGGGGCGTCTGTCCGTTATGCCGCAGAGGGAGGTTCAGAGAGCAGTGTAACCAGCCTGGAATATTGAGCTCCTCCTGCTGTAACTTCTTTTTCCAGGGAGTGCTTCAGATTTAAATCCTGAAAAAGAATCACGTGTGACACAAGTGTAACTTTTCCTTTGAATGCCTTTTATCTCAGGGCCTGGTTTTGTGAGAGTTAGCCACGGAGCAGTGTTCAGAAGCGTGTTTTGTTTGGAGAAGAGTTTTTGTTTTCTCATTCAGGCGCCTGAGATCTGAAGACCCAGGCCACCATTGCGCCGTCAGCGCCCTGAGAGGCACCCGGGGTGGGAAGGGCCGAGGCGAGTGCCCTCTCTGGCCCCCTCCGTGTTAGTGTGGCTGGCCTGGAGACTTGTTTCGTCGGTTACAAGTGTAGTTGATGGAACACACTGGGAAGTGGTGGTCAGAGAGGACTGTGGCCATGTGACGATGTACCCAGACGCGCAGTCACCGTCCGCGTCTTCCGTGCAGGTGTGTGAGTGAGTCTGGTTGGCTGGTCCGAGAGCCCTGCTCTGTGTGTCGTGCCGGCGTGGGTGGGCCACAACCGTGTTGAACATGGCCTTTTCTGTGAATGTGGCCACGTACTTGCCAGGTTGACAGGCCAGAGTGAGAAAGCCACACTGACCTCTCCCTGGATGTGCTTTTCCAAGGGGGCTCTGGTGTGTGTGTGGAGAGGGAGGACGCCCCTGCCCCCCGGGCGTCTCTTTGTGCTTGCTCCTCTGGTCTTTTCTTCTGGTGTAAAAGTAGGACTTGTTTGTGGGAAGCTCTGCAGTCCGTTTCCTACGCGGGGCTGGGAAAGTGCACTGCTTCAGCATTTTCCACATCATGTGTTTTTTTTCTGAGCTGTGAAATTCCGGCAGATTGTTATGCAAAACAGTCTTGTGTCTCTGTGTGACTGGGAAGACAGCTGTTCGTCCTAATGAGGAGTGCTAGCATTACAGTCTTTCCGTTGATTGAGACCCACGGAGGGAGCAGAATGTTCCAGACCAGGCAGTGGTGTGCGGTGAGAAGGTACCGCGCTGTCAGCTGGAAGCACATGCTCGGCTGCTCTCGGCGACAAGATAAATGAGTTGGCTGGAGTTGGGCAGAGTCTGAGCTTTTCCAGCGAGCGGTCGTGGCTCGGCCGCTTCCCCGTGGGACCCGAACCTGAGGGTGCCTTTAGAACGATTGCCCCCTCACCAGCTTTTCCCTTTGATGCCCTACAGTACCTGTCAGGATTGTGATTTGTTAAAGATCTAATGGCTCTCAGCATTTCATTAACGTAAGCTGAGGCGGTCTCATGTGGAGACTTTTTCCATTAATGTAGCAGAATGCTTACAACCCCCTGAGGACGAGAGTCCACGGAGAAGCCCCAGGCGTCTGCACAGCCCTGTTTGTGGTTGAAGTCCTTAGAGCTTCTGGTGGCCCCTGCACCTGGCGCAGCAACCTCGTTTCCAGGCCAGCCCTCACATTGCTCTTTGTGTTTGGAAGAGGGAGTTCAGGTGCGTCGTCAGGTTGAAGTTCTGGGCTTGCCCTCCTCCCCTCCCCGTTCTCGGTGCGTCACACGTGGGTCCCTCTCAGGTCTCAGTGACCTCCACATTTGTCCACGTGTGACAAATAGCAGGATTTCCTTCTTTTTTATGGCTGAATAAGATCCCATTGTTTATACAGACACCACATCTTCTCTGTCCATTCGTCTGTGGACAGCCGCTTAGGTGGCTCCTGTGTCTTGGCTACTGTGAGTCGTGCTGCAGTGAACATGGGAACGCACATAGCTCTTCAAGGTACTGAGTTCATTTCTGCAGGATATATGCCCAATTGTGGGTAGCTCCATTTTTAACTTCTTGAGGAACCTCCATACTGGTTTCCAGAGTGGCTGCACCAGCTTGCGTTCCCACCGACAGTGCAGGAGGGTCCTTTCTCCACGTCCTCACCGGTGCTCGTGTTCTGGTTTTTTTTTGTTGTTGTTTGTTTGTTTTGATGGTAGGCCTTCTAGTGGGTGTGAGGTGGGATCCCGTGGTTTTCGTTTGCATTTCCCTGATGATCAGTAATGTTGAGTGTCTTTTCATGGGCTTTTTGAGCATTCATAAATCTTCCTTGGAGAAAGGTCTATTTAAGTTCTTTGCACTTTTTTTTTTTTAAGATTTTATTTATTTATTTGACAGAGAGAGACACAGTGAGAGAGGGAACACAAGCAGGGGGAGTGGGAGAGGGAGAAGCAGGCTTCCCGCCGAGCAGGGAGCCCAATGCGGGGCTCGATCCCAGGACCCTGGGACCATGACCTGAGCCGAAGGCAGACGCTTAACGACTGAGCCACCCAGGTGCCCCAAGATTTTATTTATTTTTTTGACAGAGACACAGTGAGAGAGGGAACACAAGCAGGGGGAGTGGGAGAGGGAGAAGCAGGCTCCCCGTGGAGCAGGGAGCCTGATGCGGGGCTCGATCCCAGGACCCTGGGATCATGACCTGAGCCGAAGGCAGATGCTTAATGACTGAGCCACCCAGGTGCCCTGCTTTTTTTTTTTTTTTTTTTAAGATTTATTTATTTTAGGGAGAAAAGAGAGAGTGCATGTGTTAAATGGGGGAAGAGCAGAGGGAGAGGGAGAGAGAATATGCAACAATCTCTTGCAGACTCCCTGCTGAGCGTGGAGCCCAATGCGGGCCAGATCCCAGGACCATGAGATCATGACCTGAGCTAAAACCAAGAGTCGGACGCTTAACCGACTGAGACACCCAAGTGCCCCTCTTTGCACATTTTTAAGCTGGTGGTAGTGGTGGTGGTTGAGTTAAAGGAATAAGTTTTTCTCCGGTGTTCTGGTTAAACTGAAAGTTGGCATGGATTTTTTTCCTTAATCTTCTGGTATCAGGTGTGAGTATATAGACGTTTGGCAGGTTCTGTGTAATCCATGTCTTCTGGTAGCTTCTCTTCACTCCGTTGCCTGAGAAGGTGGAACAGAATAGAATGGACTGATTTTCTCGTGTGCTGAGAAGTTGGGTGTGCTTACGTTTACTCTTACAGAGAGGTTTCAGCAGGAGGAGCAGTTAGCAGGGACAGCCATCAGCTTCCGTGTCTCCAGTCTCCTTCCTTCCTGCCGCGTCAGGGTCTCTGGCAGCGAGCCCATGTGCTCGTCCCACGGTGGAGAGGACTTGTGTCTGCCCCCTGGGACTTCCTTATGGTCTTCTGACCCTGCGCCCTTTCCTTGCAGCACCGTGACCTCTGCTGTGTTCACCGTGGGAGATAATGTTGTTTCGGGCAGTGATGACCGCACCGTGAAGGTCTGGGACTTAAGGAACATGAGATCTCCCATTGCGACGATCCGCACAGACTCCGCCATCAACAGGTGAACGGAGCTGTTTGTCGTGCGTTGAGAGGGTGGGTTACAATGTGCTGTCTTGTCCACATAAAGTTAGCGTTTAATAGATCTTTGGAACCGCAGCTTTGACTTCTGGGGAAGTGTGTTTTTGGGGGTAATATTTTTTATTGATCCTCTAATGTATATTTTCGTATCTCCTGTATGCTGAAATGTAAGTATAAAATCCGGCTGGTGAAGTGAGCTTCGTGGGCCGGGAATGGGCTGTGTTTGAGCCGCTATGTAGCGTGTGCACGTTACATGTCAGCCATGTGGTCTCTGCGTTCTGATGCTGCCGACGGCTGATACCTGCGGTTTGCCCATGTGTTTTGCTTGGAAATGTGAATGGTGTGGCATCTCCTACTGCGTGATGCTCTGTAAATTCAGACACGCGTGCTGTCACCGCTTTGTATGTAACCCCCTTTTATCTCTTCTTTGCAGGATCAATGTATGCGTTGGCCAAAAAATTATTGCCCTCCCGCATGACAACCGACAAGTGAGATTGTTCGACATGTCCGGTGTGAGGCTAGCACGACTCCCCCGGAGCAGCCGGCAGGTAACTGTGCTCTTGGTCCGTGTGTTGGCAGAGAGCCTTAGGGACAACTGGGAGTCTGCGTCCTAGGTCACCACTAACAGAAATAGACTGTGAGCCCCACATCTTTTTATGTTTTCTAAAAAAAAAAAAGAGAAACTCATTTTAGTAGTGTGTTTAACTTATGCTGATATACTCGAGATAATATAATTTCAACTAATCGATATAACAGCATTAGAGATTTTGCATTCTTGTTTTCCTATTGTCTTTGGATGCTAGATTTTCGTTGGAAATACTTGATCTGTATTTAGAGCTCATAAAATTTAAAGTTGAAACTGTTTCCCAATCCCTCAACTGAGAGTGTCAGGTTTTTTAAAAACGTCAGTTAAGATTGCACACTCAGTTCCTCACTCTGATTTGCAGAGCTGTTTGCGTGTGTGGTAGTGGTTTCCACATTGGAAAGCAAACTCGGATCTTGGCAAGTGAAAGTATGCAGCCGGAAGGGTGTTAGGCGAGGAGTACTGAATGTGGTGACACAGAAGCCGTGGTGTGGACCCACCTCCACCCACAACCAGAAGACACCTTTCCATGGCAGGTCCAGGACAAGGGGACCCCATGTAGATGTAGCTCAGACGATGCACTGGGAGCAGCCTGGTGTCTGCTGTGCTGGCTGGACCGCCCGCCAAGGTGTCTCCGTGTGCTGAGAACTGGTTGGTGCTCGTGGCACCAGCTTACACCTGCTGATGCGGGATCTCTTGAGGGCCACCTGGGCCCCTGTGCGTAGCTCGTTCCTGGGCCACTGCAAGTGTGGGGAGAGGCTGGCTCCTTCTGTGGGAGCAGTGTCTCTGCAGGCTCGGTGCTTGATGGAGCCTCACCCTGCGGCCCCTCTCCTTTGCTTCCCTTGGTGTTTTCTGTGTCGCTGTGGCACACAGCTTTGTGGGTGAGCTAGTACCCTCGGGCGGCCCCTGACCCTGCCGTCAGGGTGTCTGTGCCCCCCGGCGCCCGCCACGCTTGCTGCTGACGGCCGCAGCTCTGCTGACCTTCACGGAGACACCCTGTGTCCTCCTCGTGTGCAGCCTCACGGACAGTGACCATCAGGCCGGCCCTGCGCGGGCTGTGGCTTCAGGAACGCTCGACTGAGGGTGGTCTCGGAGGACGACTGTGGGGGACTCTGCTGTCAGCTGGGCAACGACTTTTCTTTAAGTGGCACCGACTTTCTGTGAAAGGCCTCTGCGCTTAAGATGGGATTGTTTCATCTGTTCTCCCCTTTTAGGGCTGGCACATGTATTGTTGGAAGTGGGTTATTGAACTTTTACTTGAGTACACATCATCGAAACTACTCATGAAATTTAGAGTACCCGATAAGAGCTTTACACCCGCTAACAAAGGGAATTTTTCATGCTTGGTTCCCGCCGAGAGTCTCGGGTGTGCCACCCACGTGGCATCGCTAACATGGTGGCTTCTCTTCCCGATGTGCCCGTGTGTTCCCTGATGTTGCCCTGCCGCACGGGAGGTCTGCCCTTGAAACACAGCACCGTCTTGTGAGTGTGGAACCTCACTACTTTGACAAGATTTTCTGCAAGAGAGGTTCTCGGTGGTACTAATTCCACTGAGGTGATTTCAGCCTTGTTGAAACTGTAGAATTTGTTGTGCTTGGATTTATACCCTTTTAAAGCGGTGTGTTAAATAGTTATTTTTAAGAGTAGTGAGTAACATTTCAGTTCATTCTGAGCTTGTAACGCCTCTTCTGAGACACAGATACGGTTTTCAGTGTCACAGAACCCCAGCTGGAAATCCCTGGCTTGTATTGCCCCAGCTTCCTTCAGCTGACGGATTGGAGGCAGAGAAAACAACAACCCGTATTTGATCTTGGTAGTGAGAGTGAAGGTGGCTAACAGTGTAAAGCTCTCTTACTTTGGGGAGAGTGCGTGTGGCATTTCCCAAAAGTGGGTTTCAAGCGAGGCGAGCTCTGTAGAGTCCTAGGAGAGACTGGGCAGGGAGGCTCTGCGCGCGGTGTCAGAGGTTTTATGGCAAGGACACAGGGTCCCGGGGTGGGCGTGCCGCACCCTCTCCAGGATGCGTGCCATGACCCTTGGGTGGGTGCACGGCATTTTCAGAACACATGTGCCCACAGAACCTCTTCGGATGCGTGCCCCACACATGTCCCTGCACACTCAGGCAATCCATGGGAGATGGGAGGCTGGACTCCAAACCCGAGTTGGCTTCCAGCTCCGTCCTGGGTGAGCTGTGCATACAGATCATTGTTCTGGGTGCCACGGGGTCTCTTCCACACACTCATTTGCTTTCTACCGTGAATGCCTTGAGTTGATTGATCATCTTTAACTGGTTCCTGCGCAGACTCTTGAATTTACTACCAGTTAACAGATGTGTTGTTCACTCTTTTTCCTTGGGTTCTTAACAGAGAAGTGATAGAATGTTGCTCTTGAAACACTTTGTGATGTGGGCTTGCATTTGCAATACCTTTATTCTGTGGCCTGTTGTTGTCTCTCTCACATGTGTGGATAGCATTGTTCATATGTGAAGTGTTAGCAGAGGGAACTTTTGTGTCATTCTTTTGAGTGTTTTGTTTTACTTACTGAATTTCTGTGAGCTTTTCTTAATTCTACTTCCATTACTTTATTGTGTGTTGCTATAGTAACAGCAGCATATTAGACCAACCGCGTTTCTGGAGTGTATGCACGTGTCCTAAGGCGCTGCTCGTATCTCTCTACATGTGCACTAGGGATATCCCACTATAAACTTTGCTGATATTTTGCAGTAATTTTTTCCATAGCTGGAATTCTGAAGGTGGCAGGAATTTACTTGGAGGGCCGTTTATTTTATCCTTGTTTTATTTGGTACCAAATTTATTTTTCTGGGTCCTTAATTACCTGAGTCAGTTATCTGTTACAGTGATCTTTGAGGTCTTTAAATGAGTTTCATTTAATATATTCCCAAATATCATCTAGCCTCATTAAAAAACTTCAAATTCATCATTTATTTTTTTTTTCTGACTGTAATCCCACTCATTTTTAAAGAACCCCGGAATGGTGTAGGTGTGAATCTCACTGACTTCGTCATGTGTTCTGACGCCACTCTCTTCGCCTCCACTCCCCCACGGCACATGCGCAGTGTTTCTGGCTCACTTTGACTAATGCTGCCCGTTAAGTGGTGCTCTTTCCATTCTGTCGTGGTGTAGTTGTTAATTTGGCTGAAGTTTTATAGTATGTGTGCTTTGCGAATAATATACTAATTCTGGTTTGTGTGATTGGAAATAGGGCCACAGAAGAATGGTGTGCTGCTCGGCGTGGAGTGAGGACCACCCCATGTGCAATCTGTTCACCTGCGGGTTTGACAGGCAAGCCATTGGCTGGAACATCAACATCCCTGCATTGTTACAAGAGAAATAAGGTCGCCGGCGTCCTTAGCTGCGTAGTTCACCATGGACCTATGGACTGGTGTCGCTTTTCTCCTGTTCTTCAAGCCCTTTTTGTGAGAGTTGCACCCTGGAAAGGGTGGTTTGTATGTTCTTTTCCCATTGTGCCGAGCTTGCATGAAATGTACAGCAAAATGTATGGTCACATGTCTTATTTTCATCTTGTGTGTGTGTGTGTTGGCACCCTCTGGTCAGTGGACATGAAGCCCCCTTCCCCGTAGCGCGTTGTGTGTTGTGAGTTCCTGGCGTTCGACAGATGACAGGAGGGCATTACATTTGCGGAGTTCAGTGTGAACCCGTGTACTTACTGTGAGGCGTAAGCAGTCTGTGGCATTTCTGGAATCGTCTTACACATCTACCTTGTCCCGGGAAGGTCATGGAGCTGTATAAGTATTGGCTGGCGATTGGCAGGCGTGATGAGAGATTTCATGTTTACTTCCGTCTGAGGGTTTAGCATGTGCTGTGGTGTAATTCAGCTTCAACTCCATATTCTGGTATAGTTGTGTAAAATTTACCTGGAATCGGGAAGTTAATAACAGAATGCCAACTTTGCAACATTTGGAAAGTTTTTTTTTTTTTTGAAAAGGAAAAGTTTCTGCTCTTTTTATAGAAAATCATGTCAATCTCCTGAGGTCTCATATTAGCAAATTCAAAAATACAATTCCAATCACTGATTTCAGATACTAAGCAAAATTTAAAGCACTTTAGTTTATAGCTATGGTTATAAACAGTTTTTAAGAAATTTCAAATAACTTATCCAGTGAATGTGACTTGAGCTTGTAAAGAAGGCCCTGCCTGCTACCTGAAAACAAAACCTTATTTATTTTCTACACTTTGGTTTGTGTATTTCTAAATGGGTTCACTTCCTTGGTGGTGTTTGAGAGCCAACAATGCAAATAAATGAGTACTACCTCAAAAATCAATGTATTTGGAAAACGTGGGAGTCTCACTGTTGCCTAGCTAGAGCACTTTTGACTGCCGAATTCAGTTCAGAAGGCAAGAAAGACAATCATAGCAAATGTATCCTGAGGACGAGAGCTCTCACATTAGCTGATAAGGTGGTAGCGGAAACCATTCTTCGCAGGGTACAGGATGCTCCTGTTTCGGCAGCTGGGACACCTCTCAGCGCCAGTCCTCCCATTGCCTGGGCGAGCCTGTCACTCTTGCCTTCTTAGGGGTTACTGTTGTCTGGTGTTTGTGAGTTCATGTTTCTTGCTCAATTACAGTTTTGATAAAGAGCCATCTCCGTGTACTGCCCTCCTCATTTTAATATTTTGAATGTGTCTGCTTGGAGAGGCCCAGAGGGGAACAGTGGCAGTGATCATGGGTGCCCCCCACCTCCAGTGGTGACCGCTGGTGGAGTGCCGTTTGGCAGGGTGTGGTGTGAGCAGAGTGTGTGGGCTGTCCTCAGTCCTATGTGAATGCACCTCTCTTGAGGCTCCTTTTGCTCAGGTCCTGTGTGCGGTAGCTCATCTTAGTAGCTTCAGCCCTGAATTATCTGGAATGATTCTGAAATGACTTACAGTCTGGAAGGGAAGAAGGGCCAGGAAAAACCCATCATGATGTAGTTAGAGTTGAGGTTGCCGGCTAAAGACTAGAGGACAAACAACAAATGCTTCAGAGCAGCTCTCTTTCCAAAGCCTGGCATCTCCCCGCACCACACCTGAGAACGTGGGCCAGAACGTCAGTGTCCAGCCCCTGCCGACCCGAGTGCACCATGCCCCCCGGCAGTAGAGCGCCGGTGACTTCGGATGCTGAGCTGTGCGTCCACACTCTTGGGCTCCTGTTGTATTTTAATTTGAATGTCTGAGTGTCTTAGAATCATTGTTAGGAACATTGAAAAATGTATACAGACACAGCAAAATCAAACTTAAGAACCAGATTTCTGCCAGATTAAAAAAATTTGAAGCTTTTAACTCCAACATTTCTGATGCTATTCAGTTCTCTGCAGACTAGTGCCCTCCGTGTCCAGCAGCTGCTGACCTTCTCGCTAGCAGGAGGGGCCAGCCTCCTCCCTCCTCACTTCTCCACGGGGGCACGGGCCTCATGGTGTTTGCGTGCGGTCCCAGGAGCAGGACACCCTACTGCTAACCACCGCGTTGTCCTCGGACATGGTTCCGTTCAGCTGCCGCTGTGGCCTTGATGGTGTTTTCAGGAGTCATGGAGATTTGGGATAGGGAGTGCACGTGTGTGTGTGGATGTGTGTGCGTGTGTGTGAATGTGTGTGAGTCTGTGTGCATGGATGTACCTGTGTGGCTGAAATTAAGCCATGTGATCAGCCACACGTGATCTCATCTGAAATAGTGTTTGGAAATGAGAGTGGTTTTGTCCTGTGTGCTCACATGTCCAGAATTTCATTTTTAATGGAAGGAAAATGTGTGGTTACTGGAAAATGTGTATTGATAGAGAATTTCGTAAGAACTATGTTGTTGGACAAAACAGCACTCTTTCTCAAACCACTGCACATCAGTTTCTGGAGAGACAAAAATTCTGTACATATTTTGGAATTTGAAGAATCCTATGTAAATCATTTGTTGCTTAAATCTGTGAAAAACAAGTTTCTTTGGGGGGAAGTATGCATTTATAAGTGTTGTGTAGAAGCAAGTGTTTTTAATGTATTGATGTAATTGTTTTTAAGTGTTGACTGTCTTCATTGCAATATGAAATTCATTAAAAATCCACGTTCCTTAATCACTGTTGTCAAAGTTTTATTTTATTAGGACTCTCTTTTTTTATTATTTTACTTATTTTTTTTAAATGTTTTGCTTTGATGAAATATTGTTAACAGCTACTAAACACCACAGTGATGTAGAAACAAATTATAGAACTGCCCATTTGAAAAATTTTAACTTTAGACTTAAAAGATCGGTTGTGTTCTATTTCCTGTCTGTTAGGCTAACGTTAAGTGACACGTAATTATGCTTCTCCATTCCAGCATCACTGCCCCGACAATTTCTGGAGGGAGTTAACACTTTGATATAATGCAGGTGCTTGTCAAAGTTCATCAGAGTTTTATGAGACGCTTGTCCTGTTCTTACTACAGTTAAGCTTGTTCAAAAGTTTTAAAAAAATTGCAGTTGCAGAAAGTAGGCCCCATTCATCCCCTGTGAGAGAATATGCGTCTGAATTGGTGGTGGCTGCATGGTCACCATTCGTTCCTACCCCGTGAGCAGAGTGTTGTGGCGGGTGCAGGAACCTCAGGAGATGTTCATACACAGCTTGCCAGGGTACCCTCTTCAGACCGGTAGGGCTCGCTGCCTCTATTCAGTCCCCAGAGGGTGGAAATTCACTGATTACTTATTTTTCTTATCTTGGTCTTTAGAAACCTGTGATTATTGTCCACATTTGAGAATTACATCTTCAGTTACATTTTAAAATTTCATCTGTTAGCATACAGAATCATGAAGATGGTCCTCAGTTGGGAGAGCATGCGACTTATCACGGGGTCATGAGTTTGGGCCCATGTTAGATGTAGAGATTACTTAAATAAATATTAAAAAAAAAAGAAATCACAAAGGTAAAACTTAAATTGCTATAATTTCATCATAATACTACCAAAATGTGTCTTGCTTACTATGCATAGATTTTCTGGTTTCCCTTAATAAATTAAGTTAGATTACTTCAGAAACTGGGAACACCTCAGTTATATGCAATGTGTGATATACAGTCCATATGATGGTGGGAAGAAGCTGAGAACGAAATCCTATGAAAATGTTGAGTAATTTAAAACTAACTTTATGAAAACATTTTTAAGCAGCTTTTGGTCAAAATGAAACCAGAATAGACAGATCTCCAGCTCTGGGAGCTCTGTGAGGCGCAGGTGATGCCTGTGGAGTTTGTGGGCCCAGGAGGCATCCTCTGAAGAGGGGAGGCTTAACCAGGCCAAAAGGTTGACAGAGGTGTCAGGAACCAAAGAGAACACCTCTCTAACACTTGGCACTGAGTCCCCTCACTCCGAGCAGTCTTTTTGCACTCTACCAAACCCTCCCTCGAAAGTTTTGGAACCAGAACCAGAAGTCTGTGTCTCTCCACAGTCGCTTTGTCTGAGCTCCAGAGTGCTGAGAGGAAGAATCTAGATTGGTGAGCTCAGCAAGCTGTCTCTCAAGAATGAGTCTGATAAACAAGGATGGTGTTCACTAGTGCTCCTTCTCTAATGCACCTTCTTGAGAATGCTGTAGGAAGAAAAAAGTCACAGAGGAGGGCTGTCAAAATGGACAAAATGCCGACATACCTACATACAGCAATGTCTGGAGGTATTGGTTTAAATTTCTATTTTTGTTTGGCTGGGGAATTACAATTTTAACTTTTTGTCTTTGTTAAATACATATAGTAAAATTTCAAGGGTAACCACAAAGGAAAAAAAAAACTTTGAAAAGATAGAAGACATGATTAAAAGTGGTTACTGTAAGGGAGTTGGGAAGTGTGGTAAGTAACTGGAGCAGAAGTAATTTTTTAGTGTTTTGTGGATTTAAAATTTTAGAACCGTCAAAGTAGATCACTCAGTATTTGAAAAGTTCCCACTTTATGCTAACAACAGAAACTTTATAAAAGGCACCCAGTGGGGAAAATCTGACAAAAATAAAGGGACTTGAAATATCCATGGAAATACTTAAAAACTTGAACAAAGACGTTAAAAAAGACAAGATGAGAGACCATCATGCATTAATAGGAAGAAGTAATATTGTAAAAATGTCAGTTTTCCCCATATTGCCAGGTAGATTTGATGCTATTCCAGTGCAAATCACCCCAGAGTTTTTTTGTAGAATTGGACATCTGATTCCTAAATTTATTTGAAGCAAAGGCCGGGGTTGATGAGATGCAGAGAAAACAGGAGGAGGGAAGGGAGAAGAAAGCAGTGTTTCCCTTAAGCCTGGCAGGGCTGTAGCAGCTAGAATGTAGGATTGGCACTGGGACGGAGGAATTGCCCAGTGAGGTTAGAAAGAGATCATCAGATTGATTCAAGCATATATGAAAATGTAGCCACAAGTCAGTGGGAAGAAAGTGGCCTGTGTAATTAATGGTTCTAGTGTTACTAGTTATCCATACGGAACAAGGAGCGAATCCGATCCCTACCTCACACCAAAGACAATTCAGGCCTCATACGTGAAAGGAAAAACACTAACTTTTTTAAAAATTAAGAGAATATTTATATGATTTTGTGTTTATTAAACAACTCCAAAAATGCATTAACCATACTACAAAAGATTGATACATTCAACTGCATTGAAGGTAAAGATTTGTAGCCCTATAGGACAGCTTAGAAGAGGTGAAATGGTAAAGCCCAGGTGTTGTTGCACATATATAATCCACAGAGCACTGACGTCCAGGATAGTAAAGACAAAATTCCACGTTTCCAAAGGAGAATTGGAAATTGGCAGCAGACATGAATAGGTGTGTCACAAAAGGGAAAACCTGAATAGTCAGCAAAGAAATAAATATAGGAATAAAAAAAAAGGAAAATTAAGGCCCAAATGAAATACAATTTCACAACTATTAGATTTGGGAAGCTCTGTCAAGCATTTACTGTTGGAACTTATATGTACTGTTGGTTTGGATAAAAAATAATACAGCAAATTGGAAAGCACGACCTTGTGAGTCTGAGTGTGTGAGCGCCCCCTTGCTCCAGCAATCACGAGGGGTCTATGTAGAACATGGTTTTTTAAGTGAGATGTGTGGAGACCATGCATGTGTTGCAATGAAGACTTCTGGCCACAGAGCCAGTGACTGAGGGTGGGGGTGGGACGCACGAGTCTGCATTTGGATTGAGCCCCTGCGTGTGGTTTTGCTGTCCAGTTTGAGAGCTGCAGGGTGTCAGGACATGCCCTGGGGCACACGAGAAACCACCGAGCACCATCAACAGGGGCTGTGGCCTAAATGGTGGCATGTCTGTGCATGAAATACAACAGTAAAAATGAATGGACCACACAGGACTGTGTGCGATTGTTGATCTTGGGAACATAGTGTTGAGTGAAACACCATTTTTACAGAGCTCGAGCAAGAATCCCCTTACGCAGTTAGGGTCATGTATTTTGGAACATGGGAGTAAAAACTCCCGATTCTGCATGGTGTTCTGTGGGTCAGGAGTGGAGTGTGGTGCGGGAGGTGAGGGCGGGGCGGGGAAGAGCCCAGACTGCGTGGTGTCCAGCTCCTGATTGGGATGGTGGATGCCAAAGTCTGTTCCAGTATTCACACTTCATAACTTAGATATATTTACAGCTATTTTGTTAATGTGTCTCATACAGTTAAAGCAATAACAAATATAAGAAACACCACGGAGGAGGTGCGTGCTGTTGCAAAGGTGGACGATAGCATGATGGTAACAGAGGGGACTTTAATATTTTTGCCCGTGTCACAGTCAGGCTTTTTATTCACTTCAGATATTAGCTTTTTTTCCACTTACAAACATGTAGTTTTATTATTCTCAATGACTGATTTTTCAGTGTGTATGTTCCATGGGAGGAAAGACAAAGCCAATTTTGTTCCAAGATAATGTTCTTGAAAAAAATTCTCGCTAAGGAAATTGTAAAAAGGCCGTGTTACACTGTGTCAAAATTGTGTTGTTTTCAAATACATTTTGGAAATCCTAGCTTTAAAGTGGGAAATGTAATAAGGATTTCATTTACCAGGTGTGATCATAAAACAATAAAAGTAGCTTTCTTATGTTGCTCATAAACTGGGACTGAAGTAATTTCAGATCCAGGAGACGGTCCAAATGGCCACATACCAGAATAAGAACGTTCATTCTCACAGTCTGTGTTTTGGGGGAAGCAGCATTTATTTGGCTAGGTGGATAAGTTTGGGTATATTTGCTTAAAAATATATCATTTTTAATAGGGCATGTGCATTACAGATGTCTTCTAGCTCTGAATTAATTTTTAATAATAAAATCGGGACACCTGGGTGGCTCAGTCGGTTGAGCATGTGACTCTTGGTTTCAGCTCAGTTCATGATCTTGGGGTTGTGAGATCGAGCCCCGTGTCAGTCTCCATGCTCAGCTCAGGCTCCCTGTCCCCTAAATAAATAAATAAACATTAAAAAATAAAATAAAATATCCTGCTGTAAACTTTTGTCTTTTGCAGCGACAAAAGTAATTGTATATATTCTGTAATCAATCCCTAAGTGTTACATGAAGCTAATTTATTTTCTCTTTTTAAGAACAGCTTTATTGTGGCACAATTGACATAATCTACACCAAACGCATATATTGTAAAGTGTAATGTCTTTTGACATCTCCACCCATGAAGTCATCACCACAATCAAGATAATGCAGTTGTCACCCATTTGCTCATGCCTCTGCATTTCCTCCCTCCCGCCCCTATGGACCCCATCCCTGATGACCACCGACTGGTCCACTTTCTTTCACTAAGGTTAATTTGCATTTCTACAATTTTATATAAATTCACTTCCATAGTAGGTACTGATTTTTGTCTTCTTCCACAAAAGCTGTTTGAGGTTAAGTCATGTTTTTGCATGTCTTATTTCTTCCTTTTTACGGCTGAGTGTTTCAGTGTACGAATGTGTCACATCTGTTTGTCCACATCCCTATTGATGGAGACTTGGGTTGTTTTCGGTTTTTGGCTGTCACAAATAAAGCTGGTGTGGACATGGACGTGCCGGTCCTGTATTCACGGGCACTGTCCTTTCCATTGGGCAGACATCTAGGAGTGGAATTGCTTGGCCATGTGGAGGGA